TCTGTGCATCCTGCACCCCGCACCCTGCACCCTGCTACGTGTATCCTGCACCCCATTCTGTGCATCCTGCACCCCGCACCCTGCACCCTGCTACGTGTATCCTGCACCCCATTCTGTGCATCCTGCACCCCGCACCCTGCACCCTGCTACGTGTATCCTGCACCCCATTCTGTGCATCCTGCACCCCGCACCCTGCACCCTGCTACGTGTATCCTGCACCCCATTCTGTGCATCCTGCACCCCGCACCCTGCACCCTGCTACGTGTATCCTGCACCCCATTCTGTGCATCCTGCACCCCGCACCCTGCACCCTGCTACGTGTATCCTGCACCCCATTCTGTGCATCCTGCACCCCGCACCCTGCACCCTGCTACGTGTATCCTGCACCCCATTCTGTGCATCCTGCACCCCGCACCCTGCACCCTGCTACGTGTATCCTGCACCCCATTCTGTGCATCCTGCACCCCGCACCCTGCACCCTGCTACGTGTATCCTGCACCCCATTCTGTGCATCCTGCACCCCGCACCCTGCACCCTGCTACGTGTATCCTGCACCCCATTCTGTGCATCCTGCACCCCGCACCCTGCACCCTGCTACGTGTATCCTGCACCCCATTCTGTGCATCCTGCACCCCGCACCCTGCACCCTGCTACGTGTATCCTGCACCCCATTCTGTGCATCCTGCACCCCGCACCCTGCACCCTGCTACGTGTATCCTGCACCCCATTCTGTGCATCCTGCACCCCGCACCCTGCACCCTGCTACGTGTATCCTGCACCCCATTCTGTGCATCCTGCACCCCGCACCCTGCACCCTGCTACGTGTATCCTGCACCCCATTCTGTGCATCCTGCACCCCGCACCCTGCACCCTGCTACGTGTATCCTGCACCCCATTCTGTGCATCCTGCACCCCGCACCCTGCACCCTGCTACGTGTATCCTGCACCCCATTCTGTGCATCCTGCACCCCGCACCCTGCACCCTGCTACGTGTATCCTGCACCCCATTCTGTGCATCCTGCACCCCGCACCCTGCACCCTGCTACGTGTATCCTGCACCCCATTCTGTGCATCCTGCACCCCGCACCCTGCACCCTGCTACGTGTATCCTGCACCCCATTCTGTGCATCCTGCACCCCGCACCCTGCACCCTGCTACGTGTATCCTGCACCCCATTCTGTGCATCCTGCACCCCGCACCCTGCACCCTGCTACGTGTATCCTGCACCCCATTCTGTGCATCCTGCACCCCGCACCCTGCACCCTGCTACGTGTATCCTGCACCCCATTCTGTGCATCCTGCACCCCGCACCCTGCACCCTGCTACGTGTATCCTGCACCCCATTCTGTGCATCCTGCACCCCGCACCCTGCACCCTGCTACGTGTATCCTGCACCCCATTCTGTGCATCCTGCACCCCGCACCCTGCACCCTGCTACGTGTATCCTGCACCCCATTCTGTGCATCCTGCACCCCGCACCCTGCACCCTGCTACGTGTATCCTGCACCCCATTCTGTGCATCCTGCACCCCGCACCCTGCACCCTGCTACGTGTATCCTGCACCCCATTCTGTGCATCCTGCACCCCGCACCCTGCACCCTGCTACGTGTATCCTGCACCCCATTCTGTGCATCCTGCACCCCGCACCCTGCACCCTGCTACGTGTATCCTGCACCCCATTCTGTGCATCCTGCACCCCGCACCCTGCACCCTGCTACGTGTATCCTGCACCCCATTCTGTGCATCCTGCACCCCGCACCCTGCACCCTGCTACGTGTATCCTGCACCCCATTCTGTGCATCCTGCACCCCGCACCCTGCACCCTGCTACGTGTATCCTGCACCCCATTCTGTGCATCCTGCACCCCGCACCCTGCACCCTGCTACGTGTATCCTGCACCCCATTCTGTGCATCCTGCACCCCGCACCCTGCACCCTGCTACGTGTATCCTGCACCCCATTCTGTGCATCCTGCACCCCGCACCCTGCACCCTGCTACGTGTATCCTGCACCCCATTCTGTGCATCCTGCACCCCGCACCCTGCACCCTGCTACGTGTATCCTGCACCCCATTCTGTGCATCCTGCACCCCGCACCCTGCACCCTGCTACGTGTATCCTGCACCCCATTCTGTGCATCCTGCACCCCGCACCCTGCACCCTGCTACGTGTATCCTGCACCCCATTCTGTGCATCCTGCACCCCGCACCCTGCACCCTGCTACGTGTATCCTGCACCCCATTCTGTGCATCCTGCACCCCGCACCCTGCACCCTGCTACGTGTATCCTGCACCCCACTCTGTGCATCCTGCACCCCGCACCCTGCACCCTGCTACGTGTATCCTGCACCCCACTCTGTGCATCCTGCACCCCGCTCTGTGCATCCTGCCCTGCACCCCGCACGATGCATCCCTCTCCCCGCACGGCGCACCCTGCACCGCACCCTGCTCTGTGTATCCTGCACCGCACCGTGCGCTGTGCACCCCGCACTGCTCCCCGCGCACCCCACTCTGTGCATCCTGCACCCCGCTCTGTGCATCCTGCCCTGCACCCCGCACGATGCATCCCTCTCCCCGCACGGCGCACCCTGCACCGCACCCTGCTCTGTGTATCCTGCACCGCACCGTGCGCTGTGCACCCCGCACTGCTCCCCGCTTTGCACACCCTGCACCGTGCCCGCTGTGCATACCGTGCACCCCGCTCCGTGCACCCCGCCCTCCACGCGTGCGTCCCGCGCTGCGCCACGCCATGGGCACCCCGCTTCCCACTGCCTTCTCCTCACCCTGCGCCTCTCGGCACTGTGCTCGTGCAGCCTGCGGAGCCCCTGGCACCGCTGAGCCCCTCGGCCTGGGAGAGAGCCCCAGGTCCCCCCGTTGCTGCCGGCTTCTCGATGGGCCGAGGCCAACTGTGTGAGGTTCAAC